AAGAAATTGTTTATATGATGTATAAGGGTGTGGGATATTTCAAATTATACAGGTCGCCGACGCGTTCTATTTATTCTATATTAACAGTTACAATTTTCTCCCGAAATTTCATATTCGAAATAAAAATAATATCATTCATAATTCATCTATGATGTACTACAGTTTTACGACGGTTATATGATTTGGAGACTTTTCTGTATTTTTCAATTTCAAATGTTGCCATATTTGATTTCTCTTTACGATCGCATTTTGTATTCTTAGTATAGTACGTGGGGCATATTTGAGGGTTTCTTTATGAGGCAAAACACGTAGTTGAGTATATGGGTCTTTGGAGTGTTGGCGCCAATTTGTCTAGTAAAATGGGTATTCCATTCCAGAGGGAGGGTATCACCCAATTAAACAGCCGATCATTTCATTTCACTCTTTGGAATTGCACATCATAAATGCCGCTATCTTGACCCGAACCTTTGCTTTAATAAAACTGACTTGTTCAAATTTGCCAAAGCTTAAAAATCATCGAGAATAATGTTTCACTAAAGAAGTTTTCATATCTGTCCGTCAATCCTTCATTGTGTGATTTCAAAACAAAATGTCCGTCAATACAATTGCAATATGCATATGTAAGAAAAAACATTCTTTGTGTGTTTTAACGTGTTGATACGGTATCCATATCAAGTGAATTTACATTGGAATAATTTACTTGTGTAAGGAACTATGGAGAGACTTGATCCGTTTATGGTAATGAGCTGTATTCAATTTTTCCAAAGTCTATTTATCACTTAACCCAAGCTGCGCCTAAAACAACACAAGTATCTGCTGCCTTATTCGATATCCAAGAATACGCCAGGTAAATCCCACAATTATTTGACCGCATATGCAATTTCATATCGTGATTTTTGGTCACGTGATGTTAGAAAATATTGCATTGGTTTCTGGGAAGAGGACCTCTCTAATGGGGATCAATTTTGAAATATAACAGCTTTATGTGTAATTCAACGATCGTCGTTCTTAAGATTTCATAACGTTTGTTGTATACTATTGAGTGAATCGAGGCGCACACCCAAAGCAAATGATATACAATGATTCAAAAGGTATTGCAATGATAGAATAACAGTGTCATCCATTTCAATTTATTCATGGCATTGAAATTAAAATGCATGGCTTAGTTCTTTATTTCACATATAAAAGCCCATTGCACAAGTTTTTATAACTTTAAGGTTCTTATCATAAATTATTTAACAATTATTTTTAACCTCTAGAAGTGTTTACTAATAACTTCAACATTGGGGGAAAATCAGATTGATTTGAGTGCGTTCGTTTTTATGGTGTACGCCATGAGGCTATTTTGGAAATGGAAATGGAAAACTCAATGGAAATCAAATCCAAAGGAACAGAAATGAAGAGTTAAATTTGTAAACCAATGGTACACGTATGATTAGATTAACTTTGTTCTCTGTGATACTCTTAATAAAATCACACAAGCCCAGGTGTCGAATATGTTGATAATTCAGTAATTCACTGATAACCTAAACAAGTATTGCTTTGATAAGGGCAATTCGACAACCTCTGAAGAGGCAAAGTTGGTTATATGTCGTATGATATCTTGTATTGACCATCCACACTTGTTCAAATGTACAGGTTTCATTTAAAACAATACTTAATCATTTAAACCTGTTAAAGTTTATTTGCAAACAAATCACGTGACGGGGTCAAGTTTGTATTTTTATTACCACGATATGATTTAATTGCAATGTCCATACAATGCAGGTGTTCAGAATGTTCTTTGGATGTTGACCTTTATATAACCATTATTAAAAGCCACACTTTTTTCAAAGTGTACCAATATGTTGCATTTACACCGGATGTATAAGTCGGAAACGTAAAAATGCTAGAGTATCTGAGCAACTTGAAATTTCCTGATTTGGAATCTATAGAAGGGGGCGAAGGTTTTAATGATGATTTTCCAATGGCTAGTACCTCATCCCAACACCATGACAACGCTCAGTGCCAGGCTGAGTGAGTATTTTTATAATTTTATTGCAACACTTCATCATCTATGAACTATTGAGCATATTTCTTGTTAGAATCATTCATATTTTGATTCAAATTGTTCCCTTTCACCATGTGCGTATTAAAAGTATAATCCGTGCAATACTTGCGTAATTACTAATTATAGTTCAACATGCATTTGAATACTGCATTAAGTAGTCATTGCACGTTTGATGTCTTAGTTCGGAGTAAACTCATGCATCTTTATATCAATTTATATTTTCAACACTCAGTGTGTTAAAATAATTTTAATACCGCATGTACGTTATCAGAAGACGTTGTCACTATTTCAATTACGAAAATCGCTGATCCATTTATGAGATGGGGATGAGTATAAGGTGCAAACGGAAATTGACGAAACCTCAAAAGGTTCACTTCCCAAAGATCTTATGATCCAAATTGACACTTGTAACATACCGATGTGCTTAGTAAATAGATGGGTGTCATTTTGCCACTGAGATGTTCAAATCGTATTACTTGTAGCATAAAATCAGCATATTGTTCGGAGTGTTAAAATTGTTGTGCACTGCATCCTCAATTGAACGCAAACTAAAGAAATTTATTTAATACATTCACTAAAGTAACACCTGTATTTGAAAGTTTAAATGAGCCGAGGTTTAATCGTCTAAAAGCTGTCTTTTGGTAATAGAATACCCCGTTTCTTTTCAGTATTTCCTCAAAGATATCTCGACTTTGATTGTGCTCGCTAACATTGATAAAATAAACTTAGCCCCGGGGTATTGGCTTTGAAACGGTCTTTTGCGGATCGGCTTTATTCGAAACCAAAAGAACACCCAATTCGAGAATGCCTCCAATTAAAGATTTACATAGCCCATGTTTTAACAGCAATTTGAGAGAAGTATAAATAGTATAACTGAACTATAAATATTGTAAACAAAAGGTGTTAAAAATCAAAGAATTAACGAATTTCCGCGTTAATCTCAAATAGTGACTATTTATTATCGCATTCAATCGGGATAACAATAACATAATTCCTTTAATATCAATCTGTCTGATGTTAATAATAAATGTTTTCGGATCAACTTTGTACGTACTATCTGTAACATGGAAACGTCATTCAGTGATACATTTTTATTAATTTTTAAGATGGATTGTTCACTTTACATTCATTTTGAGCTCAGCTCAAACTTGGGCCAAAAGGACCAATCAGAACGCTGCACAACCGAGAGCAAGTTTGATTGATTGGTAAATGTTTGTCTCGGTTTCACTATTGTTTGAAGGCCTTTCATGCTTTATTTAAACTAGATTTACTGATATAGATATTCAATGTTTTTCATTTCTCGATTCCATTTGACAGCTTTTCGTTTTTTAATAAGGAGTATATGGTGAATAGATGTAATCCCGGGGTTTATCTTGATTAGGATGGAGAGAGTACCTACCAGTACCCATCTAGTATAGTGTGTCATCACTTCTGTAAACTATTTTATGCATATATCCGACTTAACATTATCCGAGCTCCATCAGATACGAAGAAATCCTATGTATGTCTCTTGCTTTAGATCTGTTAAGCATTTTAGTGAATCTCCAGATAGTTCGCCTTTTTAATACATCCATCATTAATTACGTTATTTGAAGAATACACACCCTTATATACTTATGTTTTACATCACAATTATTGTCAAATTTGATTTTTAGTAAATTCAATCTCAATATTTTCCTAAATCTTCAGAATAAAACCACATTGCTCCAATCTACGACGCTGAATTCGATTTGACATTCAAATTGAAGCCAAGTATCAAATCTATCTAAATTATCAATCCCCGTCCTACAGAACAGATGTTAAAATGTAATCCAGTCAACTTTTACGAAGCTATCTTATTCACAAACTGTTCTGATTGAAGAAAAAAGCAGAACTGATCTAAACGTTTGAATTGGACATGAAGTAGTTGCATAGATGCAACCAGAACGTGACAACGATTATCCCCGTGCCTAATCATAGTCGTCGTACTCTTCTTTCGGTTCGCACTAATAGCCTACACTTCATTTTGAAAACATTCAACATGTTCTCTAAAAGTCAGGCTTCGACTGTGCTATTCATGTCAGAAACAGGGATATTTCGTGCCATTTTACCAGTTATGTCCTAACTAGACGTATCAGTCCAGTCCGAGATGACATTCATGTTACCCCGACTGGGCATGTGTAGTTGAACGACATCATCATTATATTCTGTGATCAGGGACTATTAATAAAATTAAGCAAAAGTCATGTAGCTTTTTTATTACTTTGTGATGACTGTTGGTACACATAGAGGTTTGCTCCTTAAGCACGGATATGAAACATTGATGATACAGCATGTAATGTATCATCGCGTTTGTAGGTCACACTACCTTGTTTGCACTCCACTAAAACACAAATCAGCTGACCCTTATATACATATACAAACGTTATATAATTGTGTCAAAAATGTTTCATATTTGCATATGATAAATAACAGTAATGAAAATCGTCAGTAATATGATTTTACTTGATAAAAATAATTCTACAAAAAGGTAGTGATTTTCTGATGCATATTACATAACTGAATGTTATTCTTCATGATGGTCAGAAACATAAGCATGATAATTAGCACTGACGATTCTTATCACATTTTAGTCAATATAAAGTTATATATTGATAATATACTTAATGTATATAGTCCAATATATGAAGTATTGCTTTAATGAAATCAGCAAACAACTTAAAAGTTGCGCAAAGGTTCCAATGCTTGTAATTTTCCTCATTGCTGATCGCAATGCAAACTAACTTAATCAAAGAGACACGTTAAGCAACATTATGATTGTTAATCAGATTATAATGATATGCACCGTGGGTTGTTCCTTTTTATTGAATAGTAATCGAAGCGATCAGCTTCTCCCAAAGTCTCGAGAGAAAACAAATCTCGATAGTCGAGTTATTTCAATGAAAGGAATACTGTCTGGACCAATAAGGTAAAGGGGCAGGACATAGTAAGGTATTTTGGTGTTATCACGCCGATGTAGGGTCGCTAGAACGGGGATAAACAGATACAAGAGCAATTCAGTGTCGTTTCAAAGCTATTTAGAAACTATAGGACATTATATAGGTGAGCTGATACCGTTCGACATTCCAAAAGCGGACCACCGTCAGACTGCTGTGTTTATATTGACATGTGCGACCTAATGTTCATGCAACTTAATAGGCGTGAAAGGCAAGCAATTAGGACCTAACATATCATGGATCACTTTCAAACGAGAATACATCAGAGCATATAAGAGCCAGTGTATCAACACCAGCTTCGGACACTCTTGGCCAGGCGGATTTCTCAATTTTAGGACACACGAACGAGATTCAGTTTACACTTCCGCAAAAGGCTACTCGACAATAACACGAGTTTAATCTACCTACACCCGCGATTGTCATGGATGATGTTTTTAATGGAACTCGAACAACAAGCACATGAATATATAAGCTGATATATGTTTCTAGATAAACAGCAAAAAACGCATATTTTCAGCATGGGATCTGATTATGTCTATGAAAAACAGCTGTAACTGAATTTCCAATATACTACGTCAAGTAAAATAGTTTAATATATTCTTAAACTTCTAAACTGGACTAAAAAAATACATGAAGTTGTTAGGTATGAGAGGACTCTGAATTGTTCTATCTAGTATAACAGTTATACAAGGTAATGTACTATTTGCGTAATTGTTAACAGTAAAAAGTACATTTAAGTATGTCCATAATTCTAGTCTAAATCATTCAAGAGTGTGTCATTGAACAGATGCACTACACTAGCAAGTCATTTCTATAACAGTAAAAAAAACTCAATACTTTGTTTCTCAATTTTTGGATCTAATATTAACATTAAAATTTGATAATACTGTCGGAACTTTGAAATTTATACGGCAAAAACATTCAATAGTATAATAGTGTAGGGCGATGGTAAACAGAGAGAAATTGAGCTATTTCCCAATCTAAACTTCACACCTCCTATATATTTACCCTGGCTACAATATCTTGCTGGAATAATTGAGACTTGTACCAATTTTCATCAGAATTAATCCATTGAAGAATGGATGAATCAGTTTAGCCATAGACTCTCATCATACAATCAGTGATTGAAAATAGAAATGTCAGTGCTAGAAAGTTCAACAAAAATTCAAATCATAATGAATAATTAAATATTTTAAATATAATATAAAAACAGTCCGGTTTGTTAAATTTAATGTAGACCTAAAATATATTTGTTAGAAATTATTTAGAACAATAAACTCAATAAATTAAATTAATAATTAATTTATATTAATACATCATTTATACCTTTACTATAATATATCGATATAATAAAATTTCGGTTTATATGTTTCAGACCAGTAATGAAGGAAAAATCTAAAAATGCTGCACGGACGAGGAGGGAGAAGGAGAATTCCGAATTCTACGAGTTGGCAAAAATGCTTCCTCTGCCATCAGCAATCACGGGACAGCTTGACAAAGCATCTATCATAAGACTGTCTACAAGTTATCTAAAAATGAGAGCTGTGTTTCCTGATGGTAAGATGCCTTTAAAATATGTATTAGGTTGTATTATGCTTTATTCATGATCAACAGTTTTCCGCTCTGCAGCTTAATATCTATTTTATTAATATATTTATTTATGTGTACATCAAGTCTTTGGTTGTAACATCATTTTAAGTCATTTTTGTGTTTTATTTTAATTTTTATTCTCGGTCCAATTTTATTTTTTATTCTTTGAGAAGACTGACAAGTGATTAAAAGTAAATATCATCTGTGTGTGATTAGAAAGTTGGTATCGAATCGTAATTTCCATAAGACATTTTTTGTAAATCTTCTTGTTACTGAACAACAAGTATGGTTAATCTCATATGCCTGTCAGTAAAATCTTTTTTAGAATCAATTTAGCTTTTGTTCAACCCTAATCCACACCTACAGCCCGCATTACGTTTTTTCTTAAATAAGAAATAATTCAAGACTATTTGAAGAGGTTGTTGAGAAGTAAGTGTTGAAACATGTGCCTCGTGTTGAGGGCTATTTATGTAAGATTCGAGTCTCTGGGAGATGAGATTCAAACGTCCAACTGGACCCCTATCCTTTCTACCATCCAATGTGACTGGATTCAACTTTCAAGTATGACCGATCACTTTCACATTAGCAGGCATTGGTTTCGAACTCTTGTATAATATTCCGATTTGTCAAAATCTGCCATGGCATTGTTTCAACTCGACAGAGACATAAGGGAATCTTACAAAGTAACATAGACGCATGTCGAATTTAACGATAGCTGGACCAAGATTAAATGACACTAACAACAACTATACTATGTCATTTCGAAAATTCGAAATTAATTTGTTAATCATTAACAACTTTTTTAATATTCCTAAAAGTTGTAATTTTTTTTACAAGTGTTAGGATATAAAAACCAAATTGACTTAAATTGAAAAAAAAACTGAAACAATTATCATAACAATTTTACAAGAAATTAAAATCAAAATGGCTGGTTTATGACCGGGGCGCACTCCTTGTTAATTTGGAACAATAAAATGATAATGGGACAATATGGGTTAACTAGATGAACTATAAGATACGGTGGGATTAGATTATTAGTTTATGGCCCAATCATAGTTTTATGACACAGGACGTGTGGTATCATAACGGATGGTGATATATGATATTTTGTCGTACAATACATACTGATACAGATACAACTGAATTTAGCCATATCTTTTCTGTTGGCCACACTTGTTAAATAATTTGGGTTTTATCCCGTTTGAACTTTTTTACACTGTAGCTTTGAGTATTGAAATTTCAGCCATGAGGTATATTGAAAATGTTAAAAAGCTTTTAAACTTTTTTAAAGCAGGAGCTTTGAGTATTCAAATTCATGAAGCTACTACAACTACCCTTCGCATTCGTTTGACTTCACTTCTTAAGAGAGAGCTTCGTCTTCACTCTTTCAAACTAAAATAAACCTGTGAACTCACCGCGCCAATCAGTGTTCGTCGGCCAAATTTGACCGACGTTCTATATATGGTCATTCCTTCTGACGTCATCGCGGAGCCCGGAAATTGACCAATGACATGAGCATATTTAATTAGAACGCATTTGGCGTGTGTTTATTCAAGCTCGCTGAATGGTGGAAGAAAGGTCAGCGCATAGGTCAGAAGTGATTTATTACTCAAACTGTCACCGGTACCCGTCGTGGGGGCGGGTCTACTAAACTGTAATATGGTCTCTACTAGGCAGAGTGTAGTTTAACTAGACTCTGCACGCAGGGTATACTACAACATACACTGTTAACTAATTATGCAATTTCTATGATGATTTCTTCACATTATCTTAAAACAATATAATACAATGGAACAACTACGTACAGATGAAATTAGAAATAATATTTATTTGAATTATTCTTAAGAGAAATAATTTTCTAAATATGAAAATTTAAAAGCTACCCTTTTAACATTATTCATATATAAGAATAAATATATTTTGTTATGAACGTTTAAGGCTTTTCTATTGCTCACACACCTTTCACTGTTATAAGACCCAAAATGGATGAGTTTATAAAGCCTCTTCATAAAGGATATCCAAATATTCCAAGAGAAAATTTAGGGTGAATGAATAATTAAATAAATAATATATAATTACTGTGAAAAGAGAGAATCTGATTTTGCCCCATTTATCATTTTGCATTTTTTGGTTCATAAAATTTAGTTTTATTAATCTATTTATTTTTAATAACAACTGATCAATTTAGAGGAATCAAGTTTTTAAAATTTGAGTTTTACTTTTCCATATTTATTTTTTAGGGGGATTTAGCGAGTAGTTTTGCAGAGTAAATATTTGGTAACAGTTTCTTGAAAGATATATCATCATCTTCTTTTGAGAATAAATATTTGGGATAGTAGAGGGACACGTTGAATATTGAATATAATGCTAGCAATTATTTTATCCCCATGCTTCTCCATGTATGACATATTTTAGTTTTTCTGATTAATATACATGGAATTCCCATCCAAAAAAACATTATGTATCACCCAGCTGAAACATAAAGCAATATTTCTATGATATAGCCCATAACATTTGGTCTTACGGGTGGATTAAAATATGTTTAATTTTTCATAGCCCTCTTTACCACAAATATAAAAGTCCCCGGTCTGTTTTCTGGATAACAGGGTGGGAGAGAAAATAGCTTAGAACTTAATATATGCCATTGGGAGATTGGATTTTCTTTTTCTGTTGAAATAAGTACATTTGGCTTGACTAAGAATGTTAATATGACGAGCTTAGATATTTACTATATTCTATCTACTATTACTATTTACTGTAGTCAGTATTGAAAGTGGATAGTAAATCAATGGACAGTGGACTATGGACAGTTCCTTCCTTTTCATTCACGATACGAACCCGAGGATACGAATAAGGTTCTAACTTCAGGGGCTATACATGTACTTCATGTTTTAACAAGAAGAGAAATATTCTGGTTTTGCTTCTTTAGCATATGAAGACGGGATTAAGGGTTGAGAAATAAAACCCCTATGAATCATATTAAAAAAAACATTTAAAAATCTGAACATCCATCTTGGAGCCTTCATAATTCAAAAACTCGACTGGCACTAGGAATAAAACGAGACAAGGATCTTAGATACACCTAAATTGTTTTTAGTAATAAAGCTTATTGATTTACCACAAATAAAACTTAAATGTATCCTCATGAAAGAATGCCTATCACTAATGCAGCTACAAGATCTAAGGAGCTATGCAATTGCATTCATACACCGCTCTAATCACCTGTGATAATTAGTGTTTTTTCACGTGGATTTGTCCGCTTATTGGCTTCGTTTGTCCATAGATACTTGTACCTCGAGGATGAGCTGGATGGCGGTATCGAGCAGCGGTTAGAGGCCACGGCTACGATTGAGAAAGACATTTCCCTTGGAACAATAATTCTAACCTTTAATTGACATAAAGGGCAAATTAATTCAATTAAATATGAACCGTTCTTTTTGGGCCATTGGAAATAGAATTGTTCTAAAGGTACTCAGGGAGGAGTAATAGTCATTTTACCTAAGGGTCACAAGGAGCATAGAACATTGTATTTAATAACTTCATAATTGTCATTCTATTAGCACATTTTTAATGATGCACATATTTAACCTGTTAGTGTATTATTCCTGTGCAAAGACTTGGGAATATTTTCACAAAGACTCGTTGATAATTACAAGATTCAAAGTCAACCAATATAGCGCTTAATTAGTTACAAATAAATGAATACTAGTGGCGTATACCACTTCATTACTTCTTAGACAGTTAGCGGGGAACAAATTATAAAACTCTCAATTTTAGTAGCTGAACCAACGCTTTTGCTCTTGAGAACAGCGGGAAATAAATATTAATTAATGCTTAAGATTTTATTTTATGAGGCTGGAAACAAGTCCTCGGCAACAGTTGATAGATGGAAAGACAGTAATTAAGTTCGCTGTGTTATGAAAAGTTAAGATTAAATGAATTACACACGTCAAATATAAGTAACTGAACTACACATGAAAGAAACATAGTAATGTGATTGTTAGTAATCACCATGACAATTAGAGACGTTGATTGCTATATGGTGGAAGTCTCCCTGTTAAGACAGTGTCGCAACGGTTTATTTTTTAAAACCCAAATAAGAGATTAAATTATAAAACAGAAAAAGAATGAAATAGCCTTTTTAAGGTCCAGATTGTATAAAAATTGAGATGAAAATATGCAATATTCTAGTTATAGCATAATATATGGTCACATGTTGAACATTGGTAGCTTGGTGATAGAAAAGACTGATAATCCACGCTGAAGTATGTCTAATGAAATCAACATCTAGAGAAAGCAATGTCCATTGAGTCTAATACGGTTATCTTTGTAACAAGTCCATGGCTACTGGAACCAGTCAATCATTTGCAAGTACCACTAGACGCTTGCTCCAATTAACAATTTTTCTTATTAAACCTTTTATATTACAATCCTCGCTTATATACGATAAGAATATTGTAAATCAGACATATGTGAAAAATGGAAAATTTTAGCAGACTTGACGAAACGTAAATACCTGGTGTTCACTTTTGATAACTTTTGCCTAAATATGGCCAAAATCATTTGAAAAGTGCTCCGAATAGTGAAAAATGCATGACTTAGAATTTAATCTTAAGTGTTGTAAAATGGTGAGTCTTTGATGACGACGACCTTCATTCATTTGAAACCACTGAGAATAAAGGACTATAGATTTGTAAATATAGGAATTGGATGGATTAACTATTTACCATGTGTCGCCATTGGTATTGTGTAATCCGACCATTCGCCCGCATTATTGTCATTAAACAAGAGATTAATTAATTATATTTAAACGCCTTTATTCTCATAATTTAACAAACATTTTCGTCATAACATTAGACTTTGTTCTTATTTATGTAAGACTAAGACCAATGGTAGCCTTGTTGAACTAGTCAATATGATTATACTTACTGTACACAGTCTCTCTTTTAGATCACATCTCACACTTC